TTTTTTATAAGTACCAGGCTTTTTAAAAACTCCTTCCATCTGCTGTGTGTGGCTTCCTCCACCACCCCATCTTTTGCTTCCTCCAGCAAAGAGACTGCCACCTCCCTTAAGGCAGGCTTTGAGAATTTGAAGAACTTCTGCTTTGCTCTACGCACTGGACTTCAGGGTTGGCTGGTTTGGTCATTTCCAGAAGCAAATGTGCCTAAAATGATTATTTCTTTTATGACCTCTGGAATAAATCGGAGAAATTACTTGAAGAAACATGAAGTCAAGCTACAAAAGAGTGGATTGTTTCTTTTAATCTGAAGAAGATGCACTTACTGCTACTGCAGTAACACTTTTTCCAGCTGACTTTCTAAAATGATACGATGCATTCTGTCCCTTTGGTTTGTTCAACTGTTAATGACAGGGTTATGTCACTTAGTCTTCTAATGTCTGGTGGTGTGGTTCTTGCTTTGAATATAGTCTCCAAGGTGTGCTGCAGGGTAAATATTTAGTCAAAGACATCTTAGTGCGCTGTCAGTACCAGTTTTCTTTGGGAAACTATAACTAACAGTCACATTACCAAAAACTTCCCAAATATTACCAAAGTGTTAAAGAAGGCAAATACTGCTTGTTTTCGGTTGCTGCCCTTCTGTTTGTTTCTCCTTGCAGGCAAGAGTGCCCGCTTGTAGTGAGGTTGAACTGTAATTATAGTATCCTTTCTTTTGTGTTCGAATTACTGTAATTCAGCTTTTTTAATGTAGTGTGCTAGAAAAGCACCAAGTATGCAAGTACTAAACTTGTTCTGATGAATTACACCTGTGTCCTTGCATTATCATTTGAGAGAGGTCCTGCTGCCACCCAAAGCAGAACTGAAGTTCGATGCCTTCAGGCTGCAGGGAGAGCTGCTCTGCTGTGTTCCTGCTTTCCCTAGTGCATTTGTTGGTGTCAGCTTGCTTTAGATTATATTTTACAGAATCACAGAATGTTCGGGGTTGGAAGGGACCTCTGTGGGTCACCTATCCAGCCCCCCTGCCGAAGCAGGGTCACCTAGAGCAGGCTGCACAGGACCTTGTCCAGGAGGGTCTTGAATATCTCCAGAGAAGGAG